CTAACCAGAAGGCTGGCAGTTCAAACCCACCAGCCACTCCTTGGAAGGAAGGTTGGGCTATCTACTTCCATAGTGATACCACCTTGGAAACCCAAGGAGGGGTTGCTATGAGTCAGGTCTGACTCGGCGGCACATAACAACAACAACAACAAATATATATATATATATATATATAATTTTGTGTTTTGTTTCACATTGTTCTCCCACTGTATCCAGGATCTGCTACACAGATCCCCTTCTGAATGGTTTGACAGTGGTAGCCGGGCACCATCTAATTCTTCTGATCTCATGGTCATATAGGCTGAGATCTCATGGTCTACCAGTCTCTTGGACTAATTGTTTCCATACACCTTTGGTTTTCTTTATTCTTCTTTGCTCTGGCTGAGGAGAGACCCATCATTTCATCTAGATGGCCACTTGCAAGCTTTTAAGATTCCAGTCGCTACTCGCCAAAGTAGGATGTGGAACAATGTTTTTGTGTAGTATATTATGCCAATTGAGCTTGATGTCCCCTGAGATCATGGTTCTGAGCCCACAGGTCCAGCTACTCACTCCCTCCAGGTAGCTTGTTATGGCCAAGAAGTCACCACAACCTAGTCCCTTGTCAGCTCTACCCTATACCTGGACATTTTTACAGAACGTACAAATACACTTGTAGAAACATCATCTGCCAACCCTTTACATGGTCATGGGCACACTACCCCTGCCTAGACATACCTGATCATTCAGCCTGTCCACCCATCTATGTACCTGTAGATCAATGTTTGCCATCACTGACAACACACTTGTTGTTGTTGTTATTTGCCGTCGAGTCGGCCCTGACTCATAGCGACCCCTCCTTGGGTTTCCGAGGCAGTATCACTACGGAAGTAGGATTGCCCAACCTAATTATCACTACATCTTGATTGTATGTTTGGTCAATTTCAGACTGCAGAAGTTGGTAAAAATCAATTTTTTTGTCTTTTGCTTTGGTGGTTGGTGCATATATTTGAATAATAGTTGTACTAACTGGTATTTCTTGTAGGCATATGGATATACTGACAGCATTGTACTTCAGAATAGATCTTGAAATATTCTTTTTGACAATGAATGTGATGCCATTCATCTTCAATTTGTCATTCCCAGCATAGTAGACCATATGATTGTCTGATTCAAAGGGCCAACATCAGTCCATTTCAGTTCACTAATGCCTTAGATATCAATCTTTATGCATTCCTTCTCATTTTTGTAAAGTTCCAATTTTCATTTTGACAATTTCCAATTGTCCTCAATTCGTACCTTCTACTTTCCAAGTTCTGATAATTAATGAATGTTTGCAACTAACTCTTTCCATTTTGATGTGTGCCCCGTCAGCAAATGAAGGTCCCAAAACTCTACTCCATCCACATCATTAAGGTCAACTCTACTTCGTAGGCAGCTCTTCCCCAGTCGTTTGTAGCTCTGGTAGCCTAGTGCCTAAGGCATTTGACTGCTAACCAAAAGGCTGGCGTTTCAAACCCACCAGCCACTCCTCAGAAGGAAGATTGGGCAATCTGTTTTCTGTAGAGATACTGCCTCGGAAACCCAAGGAGGGGTCGCTATGAGTCCAATCGACTCAACAGCAGTGAGTTTGGTTCCTCCCCCAACCTGAGGAGCTCAACTTCTGGGACTATATTAGACATTGTTTCATGGCTCTTTATAAAGTTTTCCAGTAATATATCAGACATTGTTTCAAGACTGTTTTTAATGGCCAATATTTTCAGAAGTGGATGGGCCCGTCCTCCTTCCCAATGCCTCAGTCTGGAAGCTCCACTGAAACCTGTCCATCATGGGTGACCCTGCTCATATTTGAAATACTGATCGCATAGCCTCCATCCTCCCAGCAACACGCAAGACACCACATACAACAAACTGACAAATGAGTGGTGGTGGTAGAGGTCAGCAAAAAAGGGGAAAACCCTTGAGATGGTTTGCAGAGTGGCTGCAAAAATTAGCTCAGACATAGCAATGATTATGAGGATGATGTGGGAGCAGGTAGTGTTTCATTCTGTTGTACATGTTGTTGTTGTTGTTGTTATGTGCCGTCAAGTCGGACCCGACTCATAGCGACCCTTCCTTGGGTTTCCAAGACAGTATCACTACAGAAGTAGGGTTGCTATGACTCAGAATCAACTGATAGCACCTAACAACAGCATTTCTGTCCTTATTAATTACTGAGTGGAGGAAACTCTAAAACAAAAATCAATTTATTTGTTCCTTTTCTGTTAAAAGGGATGAGTTTGTCTTTTCTATGAGAATTTATTGTGTGTCTTCCTACAGTGCCGTTTCTAATAATATAGGAGTTGAATTTATAAATTGGTTTTAAACCTGGGGGTCTGGTGGACCTGATTGTAAACTCTGGAGCCAGACTCCTGGAGTTTGAACCTGGTTCTGCAACTTACTAGCTCTGTGATCTAAAGCAGATTTCCTAACACCTCTGTGCCTCAATTACCTGGAGTGAATATGCTGGACCTCATAAGGTTGCTGTGAAAATTAAATGAAAAAACAAAGCAAAATAAAATATGTAAAATGCTTGAAACAGAGTGTGGCACATAGTAAGCATGCCAGAAAAAAAAAAAATTATGATTATATTAGCTAGGTGTCGTGGGAATTTTTTAAGGAGGTTAAAACTTCCTCCTGAGTAAGTAGCAGGAGTCTGAAAAACTTGGAGACATAGGCAGAGACATGAATATTTATTCCAAATAGAAACAGAATCAGGAGAGAAAGGATTTAAAAGATAAAAGAAGACAGGTTTACAAAAATTCATAGCAATTCAGTGTCCAGAGGCTATGGGTCTGAGAGGATACAAGATGACTGCTAACACCCCCCCCCCCCTTTGTGGGCATACTTATACCTGAGTTTGAGTAATTGGGGACTGGGACTATGTGGTGAACTGGGAAGGGCTGGAGGGCAACGTGACTAGCTTCAGACTTGGTGGTGCCCTGAGCCCCAATCGGGAGGGGGCCCCCCTCCCGGGCAGTGCTCTAGGATCACCAGCTGTATATACTTTGATAAGATGCTGCTGGTTAGCAAGTTTTATTGCTTAAAACGATCTTAAGGACAAGTTAATAGTTACAGTGAAGGTGGTTAATACCTGATGGGGGAGCAGGGATGGAGAAGGGAAATGGCTTGTAGTTCTTGTAAGCCTGGCTAAATGAGATGGAATCTGAGAGCCCTTTTGGGGGGTTTGCAGTTACTGACCATGTGCTAGATAAGAGTTCTTTCAGTTGCAAATAAGTGTAATAAACCTGAGCAAGCTTAATCAGCAAAGGGGAATTTACTATATGATTATAGGATGTTTCACAGAACCCAAAGATGGAAATGCATTTGGCCTCAGGAAGGAACTAGAATGAGCTATTTAATAGCCACTGATAAGTGTTCTTTCTCTGTCCATCTCTATGACCTTTTCTCTGCAGATCTGCTTTAGTCTTTTTCTTCTGCATCCAGGCTGCTTTCCCTACTCCTCAGACCTCATACCAGATATGGTCTCAATACAGCCCCTGAGTTTGTATATTATAGACTCAGCTATTCTCAGGACTGACAGGCGATTCCTTAGTCTGAATTGCAAATTCCATGGAATGATAATCTGATAGGCTTTTCAAGTCTGATGTCCAGATCAGTTAAGTCAGTCAACCCAAGGGGGTGGAGGTCACATGGTATAAACACAGCAGCTGGTGATTATCCCAGAGGTTGGGACAATCTCTCAAGAAAGGGACATGGGCTGGGTGGATACCCCAAAAGGAGTCCACTACACGGATCTTCCCAAAGCTACCAAACCAGGAGATGCTGGACCAGGTTTGAGTCCTCAGCAGAAATGGAGGGAATGACCTGATCTCCCACTCCTTGGGCAAGCCAAGCACACTGCCTGTGCCACCAGGTCTTACAGAATCACTTGGCTCCTCTCTGAGGACAATCACCAGACTACAAATCTAATCCTCTTTGGATCCTCATCCCATCCCTGAGCTAAGCATTTCCTCCTCACAGACTCTAACCAAATTTTATGCAGATCAACTCAGGCAGATAGAAGTCTGTGGGGCTGTTGGCTCCACAACCTCATCACATTCCTTTGTCACTTTACCCTCCTAAACAACCAAATTCACTGCCCTCAAGTTCATTTGACTCATAGCAACCCCTCCTTGGGTTTCCAAGGTGATATCTCGAGGGAAGTAGATTGCCAGTCTTCCTTCCGAGGAGTGGCTGGTGAGTTTGAACCGCTAGCCTTCTGGTTAGCAGTCAAGTGCCTTAGGCACTACACCACCAGAGCTTCCTTTACCCTCCTGCACAACCTATATTACATCAAGAAAATGTTTCCACTTGCCTTATTTTCCTAGTGCTGCTATAACACAAATACCACAAGTAGGCAGCTCCAAAGCACAAAAGTTTGTTTTCTCACAGTTCAGGAGTCTAGTAGTCCAAATTCAGGGCACTGGCTTTAAGGGAAAGGTGCTCCGGTGGTGTAGTGGTTAAGGCATGGCTGCTAACCGAAAGGGCGGTGGTTAGAACCCACCAGCTGCTCTATGGAAGGAAGATGAGGCAGTCTGCTTCTGTAAACATTTACACCCTTGGAAATCCAGTGGGGATCACTATGAGTCAGGATCAACTTGGTGGTTGTTAGTTTTTTTTTTTGTTTATTTGTTTGGCTTTAAGAGAAGGCTCTTTCGCTGTCTGTTCTAGGGGAAAATTCTTGTCTCTTTCAGCTTTAATAGCCCCAGCCTTGGTTCCGTGGAGATCTTCATGGGATATCTATCCCCCTCCCCCATTTGTGTTTGATTTCTACCTGTGTCTAATCTGCCCTTTTAATCATTCAGAAGTGATTAGTTTTAGAGCACACCCCACACTAGTATGGCTTTATTAACATAACAAAGAAAATGCTATTTCCAAATTGGATTAAATCCACAGGTATAGGGGTCAGGACCATAACATAATTTTGGTGGACACAATCAGTCTCTAACACTACCCATATCACACAAAAGCAATGACACTCATGTTTTCACTGTTGAATTTTATTGCAGAATTTTAGGTAGGATTAAGATGGTCGAAGCAAAGGAGACCTTTGAGAACCATGGGGAATGGAGGCACAGGTCAGGTTTATGCCCAGTTGCAGCAATCACAGCTTGTGTCAAAGACAAGCCCGGCCTGGCAGTGTTGCTGGTATGTGTTCCCATTCAGGCAGTGCCAGAAGGCATTTCTGTTATTAGCCACAGGGTACAGTCCATTGGCTTTGCCAGCACAGAATCCACTGCCCCCAGAACTACTGCTTCCACTCCCACTTCCACTCCCACTCCCACTCCCACTGCTGGGAGGTGTTATTGGAGCAATGGGCTGAGCTGGGGCGGTACAACCTGAAACATACGAGACAAAGAGCAGACTGGTGAGCCTGCTAGAGGTTTGGAGCTCTGCCCAGTGGTGAAGAGATCTGGATGGAGATAGGGAACTGGTGTGGTGGTGCAATTAGCTTCTGGGTCCTTGAAACTGAGGAGATCATAGGATAGCTCCATACTCCTGAGTTTAAAAAAGCTGTGATTTCAAGCCAGCCTGATTTTAAATAAAAGAGGTTCTCTCTTCCCTTGACACTGTCTAAATCATTAAGAAAAGGGGAAAAAAAAAAAAAAATTACTGAGCACCAGTGTGTGCAAAACACTTTTCTAGTGTCTGGGTATAAGTGGTGAGCAAAGGAGCTCTAAGAGGAAATCTCAGACTGCTGGAAAAAATTTAGGGAGTTGGTACTTAACCCTGAATTATGAATTAGAGACATTTGTGCATAGGTGAGGCTTTCTTGTTAAATCTCCCCAGATGGACTGAGAGATGATTTTATTAAGAAATTTTATAGAGAAGTGGATGCTTGCATTGAAGTTTAGCATGCCTTCCATGGGCATTGGTTTCCTGAGGCTGTTTTACAATTTTAAAATTTATCAGACCTACAAAGCCTGTGAAAATGTAGCTGGTTTCCCATATCTATCATGGAAGGTCAGGAGTAGAATGCAGGCCCTATCTCTCAGCTGCTGAGAGCAGTGAGGTAAGATGAGGCAAAGGGGGTTGGAACAAGTGAAGACTGCCTTTTCAGCTGGACAAGGAGCATTTCTATGTCCTGGGCATCCCCTGCTGTCACTTACTTGCACTCTGAAGGCCAAGGGCATTCTTCAGGGTGGAGATCAGGGGGAACTTGCCCTGGTTGCAGAAAGTACCAGTGAAGTCATCCAGGTCAATGGCCCAGACCATGGCACCTCCAAAGTTGTTCTGCTTGAGCCATTGAGCCTGTTCAAGCACAGAAGAGACACCAGAAGTCATTTTATTTCCTGGGGCTCCAGGCCTGGGACCTCATCATGTCTGAGGTGCAGACCTTACCTTGATATTGAAGCTCTTGACATTGTCGTAACCAACCCACTCGTTGCCCTTATAGGCATAGGGCACATCCTGAGGGGCATCCCATGCCTGAGTGGCTCCGTTTTTCAGGAAAGTGCAGATCTTTAAAAAGTCAAGAAATTAAAATCTGTTAAAGATAACTCCTATGGAATAAAAAACATTTGTTCTTCGATTGTTTTTCTTTCATTTCTCTGAGGTTTTTCTTGGGGTTTTTATTATGAATTTATATCTGCGGTAAAGGAGATGAGTTTGCTTTCATATACTCTCATGTTGTCCCTACTCTTAGTGTTTGATCTTTGAAGTCCACAGAAATATTATATATATATATATATACACACACACACACACACACACACACACACACACACACATATATATATAGTCTGGTGGAGTAGTGCCTAAGGCATTTGACTGCTCACCAGAAGGCTGGTGGTTCAAACCCACCAGCCACTCCTCAGAAGGAAAGTTGGGCAATCTACTTCTGTAGTGGTACCACCTCAGAAACCCAAGGATGGGTCACTATGAGTCAGGATTGACTCGATGGCAATGAGTTTGGTTTTGGTTTGATGCTAATATAACTTAATGTGTGTGATTTTTGCTTGCTGGGATATTGCACATTATTAAGTACTTTTCATATTGCAATAGGTAAATGAACAAGTTATCTAAATGCCATTGGAGTGATCTGCCTCACATTGCTATCAATTCCTACTCGTAATGACCCTGTAACAGAGCAGAACCATCCATAGGGTTTCCAAGGTTGCAATCATTATGGAACCTCTTTCTTCTGTGGAGTGGCTGGTGGGTTTGAACCAGCTCCCTTTTGGTTAGCAGCCAAGTGCTTAACAATTGTGTCATCAGGGCTGCTTCTTAGAGTGATACTCTGGGTTTAAAACAGGTAGAGAGAGGACAGGATGAGCATTTAAGATTTCTACAAGTTCTAGCTCTAAGCCTGCTGGCTAGCACCATGCATAAAGTTCACAGAACACTGTGAAGCCCAATCTATCTACCTCATGTTGTTAGTTGCTGTTGAGTAGCTTTTGATTAACAGTGACTCCATGTGACAGAACTGAACTGCCCCCATAGGAATACCTGGGTTGTAATCTTTATGAGAACAGATTGCCAAGTCTTTCTCCCATGGAACTGCCAGGTAAGTTCGAACCACAAGCTTTTTGGTTAGTAGCCAAGCACTTAACTGTTGTGCTACCAGAGCTCCTTTACCTACCTCATAGTAGGCCCAGAATCCAGCCTGCTTGGTATATGGCCCAGCTGGACCAGCACCAGAGGTGGGAGCACCAATGCCAGTGTTTGAGGGGTTGCTCAGAATGAAGGTGTGTCCATAGGCTGGGAATCCAACGATGAGCTTCTCAGCTGGGGCCCCATTGTCCTTCCAGTAGTTCATGGCATATTCCTGCAACAGCAGCAGGTTAGCTTGAGACCCCAGTTAGCCGATGGCCTGATAGTTAGTTATGTTAGTTCTCTGTGCTAACTGGTAAATTTTAAGATGTTAATGATAGGTGGATTAGTGTTTTTTTCCCAGGTATTTTGGTGAAATTAGAGTTTATGAGATATGATAGGTCACTTAAGAGGACAGTTGTCCAAAGGCAACATTTGCAGAACTGTCCCTGATTTATAACATCATCCTTGGTCTGCATGTGAACTTGGGCAGAGGCTCACCACATTGAGGTAGGCGTTGCTGCCAGTGTCAGTGGGGTACTTGTAGAGGGGGCTGTTCTCTCCAGTGTAGCCCTCCCAGGAGCCATGGAGGTCATAGGTCATGACATGGATGTAGTCCAGGTACCTGAGTTGGGATAAAGGATTGAAAGTAATTTCTAATGGTCATTTCTACACCCCTCCAGGCAAGATAAACTACTTCCAAAGCCTCCTAAGAAAGGTCTCTAAACAGCAGAACAGAACAAGGACAAGTGTGCCCTGCATAAGTGGTCTCTACAGGAATTTGAGGATAAGGTGCATCACTCACTGGGACAGCTGGGGGATCTCATAGCCAGACTGGATGTTGGAGATGCCAGCAGCTACTGCTGCGGTGACCATCAGCCTGGGCTTGTTAACCTGCTTGGCTTCCTGCTCAAAAGCTTCACGCATTTCCTATGGAATAATAAAGTACAGTAGGACATCTGTGAAGCTGCTTTCAGTTCCTTAAATAATCATACATATCTATTTGTATAATGTTTTCTGTTTTAAAGCACTCTTACTTTAGTCTCTCAACATTCTTACTTACAAAGCAGATAGGATAGACAATGTGAATCAGTTTTACAGTTACCTAATGTGCAAATCTCTTAACATAATATACAAGGCCACATATGATCTCATTCTGGACACCTATGCAACTTCATCGGCCATTGTTCACCCACTTGCCATGTTATTTTTATTTCCCATCCTTCCCTTCACTGGCTAACACAGTTTCTTCCAAAGCTGAACTTGCGTCACTTTCTCTAGGAAGCCCTCCCTGATCCTGCCCGGAGCAGCATGAGGTGCCTTCTCTCTGTGCTGCTTTTGCACACTGCGTACCTCTGTCATGGCAGTTATTAAACCGCACTGTAGTTGTTGATTATTTTTCCATCTTTCCTCTTAGAGTGGGTGCTCCTGAAAGCCAAGGGCTGTGTGCTTTATTCTTATCTTTGTTCCCACACCTAATCCAGTGTCTGGCACAGAGTTAGTGCTAAGTAATAATAGACAGTCAGTGTAGTGTAGTGATTAGAAGTTATCAGTCTGTAATCAGACTCCATAGCACCTACTAGCTGAGTGATGTTGGGCAAGTTACTTAACTTCTCTGTACTTAGTTTCCTCATCTGTAAAATAAAGATTATGATGACTATAGTACCTATATCATAGAGTTATGGGAAGATAATGGATTATAGCTTATAAAATAGCATGGAATATACTACCTGGTGCTTAATAAACATATTGCATGTTATTACCATTATCATTATTCTTAAAGGCTTGTTGAATGAATGCATGATCTCTAAAAACCTTTGCAATACTAGGACCCTGTAAAACTAAATTACAGCTTAGTTTTACTCTGGAATCCCTAGATTCTTCTTGGAGAGAATAAGCCTTGGCTTTTCTTGGCCTAAGGATTGTTACTTCCCTCCTCACCTGCACCAGGACGGTAAAGAGGTGCTTGTCCTGAGGGGTGCTTCCACGAGAGCCAGGGTACTCCCAGTCAAAGTCCAGCCCATCAAACTCATACTGACGCAGGAATTTGATGACTGAGGTAATGAAAGTCTGGCGGTTCTCAGGAGTGGAAACCATGGCAGTGAATCTGGGAGAAGGAGAGGAGGGAGGAAGAGAAGTTCACCACAGCCAGGTGGCTTATTACTGTTGACGTTACCCACACGGGCATGGCACATGCCTGCCTGTCCCCCTGTTCTTTGCCCAGGGACCTGGGTTGTTCTCTATTGATATAATGTCTTGTGGTCCATCTCTAGCTGATACTAGGCTTGGTGAGATGATGTGCCCTCCTCACTTTACTACATTCCCATGAGGCTGCATGTTCAGGGTTCTTGGAGAGACAAGTAACTGTATTACTTCTTTTGATCTAGAAACCTTCAGCTCGTTGTGAATTCATCATTGTTCCTCCTCCCTGTCTCTATCTATTCTCAGATCTTGCTCTTTTGTTGCATGGTCTGTCCAGAAGCCATCCCTTCTTCTTTATCCTTCAGGCCTGAAGAGTCAGCTCTGGTTCTTTGCAATAGACCCTCCTGGGACACATGTCTCCCTCACGTGTCCCTACAGTAGATACTCTCCAGGTACCACATAAGCCATTCTATTCCATTGCTCTAGGAGCTCTGGTAGCATAGTGGCTAAGACACTTGCCTGCTAACCAGACGGCTGGCGGTTCAAACCCACCAGCCACTTCTCGGAAGGAAGGTTGGGCAATCCTACTTCCGTAGTGATACTGCCTCGGAAACCCAAGGAGGGGTCGCTATGAGTCGGGGCCGACTCGACGGCACATAACAACAACAACAAAAGCTCACAATCAGAAATGTCTGCCTCAGAGAGCTTCACTGGGACCCACAGCTCAGATTAAAGCATGTTCTTGGTTTCTCCTGTCCTTACATTGTAATACTGTTCTTCTCAGCAGTGGTACCTCATGTACCCTTTATTTTGTTATCCACCCAACTATGCATTTGTTGCTTTTTTACACCTGGTTAACTCAGCTCCCTCTCCAAATAGTCCCCCTGTTCATATACCCCCCCCCCAAGTCTACATGACTTTTTATTTTCTTTCCCCAAAATATAAATGGAGAGGGGTTTCTCAGGATGCAGGTGGGAATCCAACTTCTCAGCTGGGGCCCTATTATATGGCATATCCTTTGAGTCAGTTGTCTATATCCTGTAGAATCTAATTCTGAGACCTTGGCTGCCATTCTGTTTGACATGGATTATTCTGAAGCTTTAGGGTTTGTGCCTTTGAAATACCTTAAGAAGTTGTTTTGGAAACAATCTCTGTGGATGAATATCCAAATTTAAACATACAAAAAATTGTGTTCCACTTCATATTAAGGTTCTGTTCTACTCCATATTGAGGTTCATTTTAAACAAAAATTACCATATTTGCTTAATGTCCGTCCATAATACTTAGACTGTGAAGTCTAAAGGAACAGAGGTAACAATGGGATTTTGCTTTTAATAGAAAATGGCTGTCTCACAGAGGACTTACGGGGCAGTTCCAAAGTTCCAGCCTCCAATGGCCAGGAGAGTTTTCAGCTGGCTATTCCTGTAAAACAGAGGTTTTAAAAAATGGAAATTTCCACATTTATATGAGTTCGTTTGTTTAAAATCACATTGCTTTAGGATCAGCCCTGGTCATATACTTTTTTGTTGTCTTGATAGTATGGACCATAGAACAATTTTTCTCAACTGCTGAAAATTTCCTTTATAAAGTCATCATGTTATTGTCATCATAAAAGCATTAGGTTTTCATGGAGAAATTTAAATTATGGAACTTCTTTTCAAAATGAATGATTAACTATTGTTAACTTAAACACATTTGTCTTTTATTCCGTTTCATCAGATGAAATGTTAAATTTTACTTGAGTATAATTACTTTCTCAAACTCTGTGGCAACTGACATAAATTAACTGTTTTGGAATTGCATACACTTTCTGGAATAGTGGTTCTCAAACATCAGTGTATGTAAGAATTATGTGCAAAGGTCACAGTGGGAGGAGGATGTTTAGATTTCAGGTTTATAGCCTCTTCCCCAGAGATTCTAATTCAGTTGGACAGAGGGACTAGCATTTTAATCAAGTGTTCCATGTGATTCTGATATGAGTAGTCAAAGGACCATACTTCAAGAAACACCATTCCAAAGGGGTTCATTTCCTATTAGGTATCATGACTTAAATTCTCATAGCTGCATTCAAGATAGTGTCACTATCGAAGATAGCAATGGATTATAGCCTCATTCTCCTAGATATGACTAACAGGAATAAATTAGAAATGAACAAATACTAGATGCTTTTTTTTTTAACACAAAAAGAAAACTATTAAAAAAGAGGAAACTCTTCTGATATTTGGGTTCAATTGTATATAATTTTTAATATGCTTTGCTTCCTAAAAAGATATTGATAGAGAAAGAAACCAAAAGAAAGAACCAAAATTTTTAAATTATCTACTAGAGCTCTGGTAGCATAGTGCCTAAGGCACTTGACTGCTAACCAGAAGGCTGGCGGTTCAAACCCACCAGCCACTCCTCGGAAGGAAGGTTGGGCA